ATTTTCCTGTTACTGTTATAACTTGTTTTTATTTGCAGATTCCGACATGAATTTTGACGAAGAAGAGGAAGGGCCAGGTCTGGATTATATTTTGTCCTTAACAGGCTAAGCCTATGCTCCGCCTGCACCCCCGGCGAAGAGACCTAGGACAGCCAGCCCGGTTGCGGCAGCTTCCGTCCTGGCTTTGAATTCTAGCGTCTCCATCCTGGATCTCGCTGACGACTGCGAGAATACGGAGACTGATGCAAATCCAGCTCCTTCGATCTCGGCTAGTGGGGGTGGAACGCTGCCGTGATAACTCTTCCTCGGGGTACTCCTGCTCTCGCCGCTCTCCCAAGCGGACTTAGGAGGGGAGCGTTGTGGGACTTAGGGGTAACAGCCGAGTTTCGGGGTGTCGTCTGTCCTCCTCCTGAATTTTTTGTTCTGGAATTATCTCGAGAGCCGAGATGGAAGAACTCCAGAAGGCCGAGCTTTATACTTTCAAGACTGCCTCAATGGTGAAACCATATTCCTTGTTGCTTGAAAAAAATTCTGAAACTATTTCTGAGCTAGATGAGCTCCGTGTGAGGTATGGTAAAGTTGTTCTTGTCAATGAGGAATTAACAAATAATTCTGTTGAATTAAAGACTTCTTTGGAGAAATCCCAGGCAGACCTGAAGTTTTTTTCTGACGCTGTCGGCGTTACCCCTGGTAAGGATAACATCGTAAAGCGGTTCAAAGATCAATCTGACGCGCTGGAGGAGAAGGATTTAAAGGTTGCTGGGTTGACTGCTGAGATTGATAAGTTGAATTCGGATCTTCAAAATTTACAAACGGCTTATGATTTTAACCGATCCGCTCTTCAAAAGGCCACCATAAGTGCCTTTCAAAAATGTTGTTAACCAGGTAAGGTATTTTAACCCTGAATTCCCCTTAAGGCTCGACCAGCTTCACTGCTTTGGCTATGTTCGCGGCGGGGTTTATTTTCCCCCTCCTTCATCTAATCAGAGCCTGCCAGAAGGTAGCACCTCACAAGTTGGGATTACTCCAAGGGTTGAGGCAGCTGGAACCAATGCGGGGATAGAGGCATCTGGAACCGAGTTTGAGGCGGAGATGAGGGAAATGATGCATAACCCCGGTGCAGAGTGAATAGCCGGAATGCCAGTTTTGACTTGTAATTTTATTGTTTTTTGCTTTCTGACCATTTTGAGAACTCCTCCTGTTTAAAAACATCTTTAACTTTTACGGTGAATTTGGCTTTATGCCCTTGTTAATGTGCATGATTGATATGCACCGATATTTGTTTGTTTGACTGGCCCCCTTATTTTTGTAAGGATGTTAGGGAAGTAAGGGCGTCCCCTTAATTTCCCTCCTTAGCTTGATAGGCCAGCATGAACCTTTCAGGCCACTTGCCCGTAGCAAGAGGTTCAAATACCTCGACGTTGATAGCCAGGCTAGAACTCAATCTCTCCCCTAGGCAAGAAATTCAAAATACCTCGACGTTGATAGCCGGGCTAGAACTCCATGCTTGCACTTTAGGCAAGAGGTTCAAATACCTCGACGTTGATAGCCGGGCTAGAACTCCAACCTTGCCCTTAGGCAAGAGGGTTCAAATACCTCGACGTTATTGGCCGGGCTAGAACTCTAACCTTGCCCTTAGTCAAGAGGGTTCAAATACCTCGACGTTATTGGCCGGGCTAGAACTCCAACCTTGCCTCGACGTTATTGGCCGGGCTAGAACTCCAACCTTTCCCTTAGGCAAGAGGGTTCAAATACCTCGACGTTATTGGCCGGGCTAGAATGCCAACCTTGCCCTTAGGCAAGAATTTCAAATACCTCGGATTTAATCTCGGAAATGAAGGTCTGGAAAACATGATTTATTCAATTTATTGAACTGAAGATTTGGACTACAATTAAAGTGCAAAAAAATTTCAACTAAAATATTTCTTCAGTTTGTCGGCATTCCAAGTCCTTTTAACCTATTTCCCCTGTGGGGTCTCTAGCACGTAAGCTCCTTTTGATAATTTAACTTTAATTTTGTATGGTCCTTCCCATCTTGGAGCCAATTTTCCTCCAGTCGTATTTCGTCCTCCGATATCTGCCCTTCGAAGAACCAACTCTCCCAAAACGAATGATAGCGGCTTTACTTTTTTGTTGAATCGGTTTGCCACGAGCTGTTTTGCTGCAACATTTTTGCAATGAGCAGTGACCCGAGCTTCATCTATCAAATCAAGCTCCACAGCTAATTTTTTATTGTTTTCTTTTTCATTTTGCGATAAAGCTTGGACCGTAGGTTAACCTGAACGGGCTTTCTCCAGTAGAAGTTTGCATCGTGGTTCTGTATCCCCATAGTATATACCATAGTTCTTCTATCCACTTCCCCTTGGCATATTGTTCCATCCTTTTGCGTAACCCGGCTATAATGACTTGGTTCGCCACCTCGGCTTGGCCGTTAGACTGGGGATGTTCTACAGAAGCAAAACGATGCTGAATGTGAAGATTTACCATTAATTCTTGGAAAGTTTTGCTTGTGAATTGGGTCCCGTTGTCGGTAACCACCTCGGCTGGAATCCTAAACCTGCAGATCAAATTCCTTTCAAAGAAGCGCTGCACCCTTGCCGTGGTAATTGTTGCTACTGGCTCTACTTCTATCCATTTGGTAAAGTAATCGACAGCCACTATTAATCATTTTAACTGTCCTTCAGCCGCTGCAAATGGGCCCAAGAGGTCCATCCCCCCTTAAAGAAAGGCCATGGAGCCGTGATCAAGCTTAACTCTTCTGGTGGTGCCAGCAGGTTCTTATCGTGCTTCTGGCATTGATCGCAATTCTGTACGTGCTCCTTTGCGTCATGACCCATGGATGGCCAAAAATAGCCTGCTCTGAGAGCTTTCCGGTCTAGTGCCTTGCCCCCTACGTGCTGGCCATTTATCCCCTCATGGATTTTAGATAGGAAGTATTTCGCCCTATCCAAGCTTAGACACTTTAGCAGGGGGAATAGGCTCTTTTCCTGTACGGTTGCCCTTCTACCATTGTGTACAATGCGACATCCTTAACCAACTTCCGAGCTTCCTCCTTTTGGGGGGAGCGTCCCGTTTTCCATGTAATCAATGATGGTGCCACGCCAATCTTTGCCTTCGGTTATCTACATGACACATGTAGGTTCTGGGATACTCTGCTCAACCACCGTTCTGCGGTTTCCCCAACCTTTAGTGCTTGCTAGCTTTGACAGTATGTCAGCCCTGCTATTTTCATTCCTTAGAATATGACTGACCTCCACTTTTTTGAACTCCGCTATTAACTGCCTTGCAGAATCCAAGTATTTTGCCAACAACGGTCCCTTAGCTTGGTAGCTGCCTGCAATCTGGGAGGTGACCAGTTGTGAATCACTATAGATTTGTAGTCTCCTTGCTCCGAGCTCCTTGGCCTGCTGAAGCCTGGCTATGAATGCTTCATATTTTGCCTGATTGTTTGGTGTTTCAAAGTTCATTTGCATGGAGTATTCAACCGAAACCCTTTCCGGGTTCTCAATAATTACCCCGGCTCTGCTACCTTTGGAGTTTGAGGACCCATCTAAATAGATTTTCCAGGTGTCTGGGTTTGTTAAGCTCTCCTTTTGGATTGAAGTAAGCTCCCTGATAAAATCTGCCAATGCTTGAGATTTGATTGCCTTTCGGTTTTCGAAAGCTATATCAAATTCTGATAATTCCACAGCCCAAGCCATCATTCTTCCTGCTAAGTCGGGCTTATGCAAAAAATTTCGAATTGGCAAGTCTGACCTGACTACAATCTAGTGTCCTTGGAAATATGCTCTAAGCCTTATAGCCGAGATTAGTAAGGTGAAAGCAACCTTTTCTAACTTTTGATAACGGAGCTCTGCTCCCTGCAAGAGCCGACTTACGAAGTAAATCGGTTGCTGCCCCTCTTCATTTTCTTGAACCAGGACCGAGCTAACAGCAACATCTCCCACAAAAAGATACATTCTCAATGGCTCCCCTTCTCTTGGAATAGATAAGACTGGTGGTGATGCCAGCTGCTTTTTAATTTCTTGGAATGCCGCCTCACATTCCGAAGTCCAGCCATATTGCACCTCCTTTTGTAACAGTTTGAAAAAAGGTAGTGCCGTTTCTGCAGACCGAGGTAAAAACCTAGTTAGGGAAACTAGCCTTCCATTCAACTGTTGGATCTCCTTTTTGCTGTCCGGGGCCTTCATTTCCAGCACGGCTCTGCACTTGTTCGAGTTAGCTTCTATGCCCCTGTGAGTCAGCATGAATCCTAGGAATTCTCCTGCAAGGACTCCAAAAGTACATTTAGCCGGGTTTAACCGAATGTTGTGCTGCCGCAGTTCGTTAAAAGTCTGCTCTAGATCTTCAATGTGCATTGTTGAATTCATCGATTTGACTATCATGTCGTCTATATTTACATCCACATTCTTGCCGAGCTAATCCGCGAATACCTGATTCATCATTCTTTGGTAGGTGGCCCCTGAGTTCTTCATTCCAAAGGGCATCTCATTATAACAATTGTTTTCCTTCTCAGCGATGAAAGCAGTTTTCTCTTGGTCTTCGGGGTGTAGTGGGATCTGGTTATACCCCGAATATGCATCCATGAAGGATAACATCTGGAACCCGGATGAGTTGTCAACGAGCTGATCTATATTGGGCATGGGGTATGCATCTTTGGGACATACCTTATTCAGGTCAGTGTAGTCCGTACACACCCTCTATTTCCCATTTTGCTTTTTTACCATCACCACATTAGATAGCCAGGTTGTGTATTGTATTTCTCTGATGAATCCTGCTTCCAGCAACTCCCTCACATGACCTTCCAGTACTTGCCGACGTTCCGCGATGAGCTTCCTTTTCTTCTGGGCTACCGGCTTAGATCCCGGGTATACTGCGAGCTTGTGACAACAAAAATGAGGGTCCACTCCAAGTATCTCTGAGGATTTCCAAGCAAAGACGTCCACGTTCCTTCTTAGGCACTCAGTAAGTCGAATTTTGTCCTCATTCGCCAGGGCCTTTTATGTTTTGGCTGCTTGAGTTTCTTCTCCAATGACTACCTCCTCCAACTCTCCATCAGGTTCCGACCTCGGGATCTGAGTTTCATCCCTCATGTCCAACTCCACCAAGTTAATCGATGTTGTTCCCTTCTTCCCCGAACTATCCTGCTTATTATTGGGGTTCACCCCGGCAGGAGTCTTAAGGTTATTTTCTACTGCTCTAACTAACTTAAAAAAGCAGTCCCGAGATTCTTTTTGATCCACAGCAATGATGATGACCGTGTTCTGCTTACCGATCATCTTGAGCTTCTGATGCTTGGTGGAGACCAGCATATCCCAATCGTGGATAGTTGGCCTTCCTAGAATTACGTTATACTCCGACGGGAAGTCAGCTACTATGAATCTTACCATTTCCGACTTGTAAGCCTCCTTTGTTCCCAAGGTAAGCCTCAGGTCAATGTACCCCTTGGGGATAGTATCACAGCCATTGAATGCAATCAAAGCCGTGTTGCAGGGTTTCAAATCTTCCACATCTAGGTTCATTTTTTGGAATGCCTGCCACAGAATTATGTCGGCACAGCTGCCGTTATCCACGAATATTTTCTTGACTTTACGGTTGACTAATGTACCGGCGATAACTAACCCATCAACGTGTCCCGGCATGACGTCCTCCAACTCTTTCTTAGTAAAAAATAGTAGTGGTTTCGGCTTCTTTAAACTTAGGCCGCTCTCGTATCGAAAGCACATCTCTTAAGTACTTCCTCCTGACATTCATGGTATCACCTCCTCCACTAAAACCCCTGCTAATAACATTGCATTCAAATTCAAGTTCTATGAATTCATCTTCTTCTTTGGCCGGCTTCTTACCTCGGCCCTCATCCCTGAACTTCTTTTCCCGGGACGGGCTGGCAAGCCATCCTCCTCTCCTCTTCTTATTATACTTCCATCCCTGAGTTCTTATCAAATACTGACGCAACTTTCCTTCTCTGATATATCTTTCAATTGCGTCTCTAAGATCCCAGCATTCATCGGTTGTGTGACCAGAGCCATCGTGGGACGCGCAATATCGAGATTGGTCCAGACTGGCCGGATTTAGTAATGGTTGTGGCCTATCCACCCTCTTCAATGTCATTTGGAATTTTTATACACTAAATCAATCTCATTAGAATTAACGTGTCGGCGTGTCGTGTAAATTATATGAGTTATTTTACTATATGAGTTAATTTTTTCTTGATTAGTATATGAGTTATTATGAGTTGCTATATGTATTAAATGTAAATTATATTATATGTATTAAAAATTTTATTTAATATCAAAACGTGTCCAAATATGACATTTTTTAGAATTAATGTGTCGGCATGTCGTGTCGTGTCGTGTCGTGTCCCGTGTCCGTGCATCATAGGTTACAATATCCTTCCCCTTTATATTTTATCTTAGAGACAGACTTTCATTTATTATAATCATATTTAAAAATAATAATAAATAATTATTTTATGCAAGGATTTGTGTCGTTTGTATTTGAAATTTTAAAAATTGTATTTACAAAAATCAAAATCAAATTTAGGAATTTAATTATAAAAGAAGAAGGATGAAATTTTAATTTAATTATAAAAATATGTTGGTGGGTCGGCCCTTCGGGCCGAGCCGAGTTTGCCACCTCTAACTATTAGTATGTAATAAGTTTTTATATTTATCCACAAAAAACGCTCTTATATTTGCGTCTAGGTTTTTATATTTTATCTCAGAGATGAACTTTTATTTATTACAATTAGATTTACAAAATAATAATAAATAATTATTTTTTTGCAAGGATTTGTGTCATTATTATTTGAAATTTTATAAAATTATATTTACAAAAATTGAAATCTGAATTAGGAATTTAATTATAAAAAAAGAATAATGGATGGAAGGATGTGCAGCTTATTGCTAAAAATAGATCAAAACCCTATGTTAGTAACACTCTGCAAATTTCTCTATATAAAATGAAGGGAAAAATTACTCTTATGTTACATGTGATAATTTTCTCTCATACACATCCTTCGACAAATGTGCCACTTTTTTTTTTCAGATGGTGGAGCCCGTAAATTTATCTCTATATGACTATGACATGAGATATTTTATCTCCTTTAACCCTAAGATTAATAAAACCCTAAAATGAAACATAACAAATAGTCAAAACTTCGCCGTTATACCAAGTTTCACTTAGCAGAGAGAGAGAGAGAGAGAGAGAGAGAGAGAGAGAGAGAGGCGAATAAGAGAATGTTCAAGAAGGCGGTGGAGGCGTAGTCTCACCAGAGGGAAGAAACTGAAGCGAAGCATTAAGGAGTTATGAAAAAGCATGATGATTTCATTTGTGATTTTGCAGTTTATGCTCTATGGATGGTTCGAGAGTTACTCCCTTGTTTCACGCTGAAGGGTGGTGAGGTTTCTCATTTTGTTATTGGAAGAGTTGATTTGATGTTCGCAGGTATCAATGTCCCTCTTCAAGGTCTTCCTTCATTTGTAGCTGGTGAACCATGGTCTGTTAAAGTACCCGGAAATCCTGCTCCTATTGCGGTATGTTCTCTAACCCGGAAAGGCCTTGAGAATAACTCATTATTATCGTGATTTGCTGTGGCAAGTATTGCTTGACCCTGATTGTTTGATTCATTACAAGTAACACAAAAGGGAATGAAGTGGAGGATTTGAAGTTACCGGATACTGGCTTTGCTGGTGACCCAAATGACCATCATAATCTATCAACTGCAGACATTGATTTGCTGTTGGACAAGTGCATTCTACAAGCATTGCATACAACACTGAAGGACAAAGACCTTCCCATGCCCGGAAGCACTCTATGGTAGGGTTCTCTCTCTCTCTCTCTCTCTCTCTCTCTCTCTCTCTGTGTGTGTGTGTTTGTCCTCTTGGTTGACCAAGTTGAACCATTAAAAACAGAATGGCCAAAAAATCCAGCAAACCAGGAATTTTGGTTGACAATTAGGGTCAGTTTTGAAATTTTCTAAAATAAATTCGTTCAGTAACACAGGTCTCCAAAATATGACCACTATGGAGTACACTTTTAATTGGATGAGATCATGAGAAATTTGGTAATGTAAATAACAGTGTGCCATGTCATCAAAATTTACATAAGCTGCAAGGCTTATGGAATCTATATACATATAATTTTACACAGAAAAAGAAAGTTTACATAAACATATATGTTAAAAGATTCATCCTACAAGAAGTTATCAAAGTGGTTACAAGCAAATTCCTCCTCCGGCTTGGTATGTCATCTACTTCTTTCTATATACTCAGGAAGTAAAATAGGATGTGCTGAAGTAGATCTCGGCATATTTATATTGTATCGGAATTGGAACTTTCTTGCTCTTCCAGATCCACTAATTTTCATTTTCTTAACCTATTCATATTGTGATAAGGGACGCGAACCCTGCAGAGGAACTCAATTTGGGAATAACAAGAACACAGAGAAAATAAGAAGAACAAGGACAATGGGTTTCTATATTTCTGAATGAATCCTCAATTTTACACTTCAATTCCCTTTAATACTCAGTATTATCCAATACACTTAACTAACCCCACAACAAGACACGTAAACAAAGTATTGTAAAAACACAACAACTTAGCAATTGTTTCTGTTACTAATGGGCCTAACTAAAAGGTGCTGTAATCCTTGGCCCACGTAGGGGCCCCAGCTACTCTTCTTGGTCTAGGATGATCTCCTCTTGTATCATTCGCCTCTTCTCCAATAGGAACCTTGTCCTCAAGGTTCATTCTCGGCAGCGAAAATTCTGGGTAGTGGGTTATGAGGTCATCCTCAAATTCCTAGGTAGCATCTTCAGGCAGAGAGTGTGACCATTGTATTAGCCACTGCTTACGGACACCAGCTGTAGCCTGCACTTCTCGTGACATTAAAGCTGAAATAGGAACTTGAATAGGTAGATTGTCATTACTCACAGTTGGTAAAGGCAAAGCTACTATCGAACCATCTCCACGGAATCTTTTGAGTGAAGATATATGGAAAGAAGGATGGATGTGGCAGCCATCAGGAAGTCCAATCGTGTATGCTACTGGACTTAATACTCTGACTATGGGAAAAGGCCCAAAATATCTCTTGCTAATCTTCTGATTTTTGTGGTATGCCACTGATATCTGCCTATAAGGTTGTAGCTTCACCAGCACTAGATCACCAACAGCAAATGTCTCATCCTTCCGATGCTTGTCAGCATTACTTTTCATCCTACTTTGAGCACTCTATAACTGCTTCTTCAGTCTCTTCAATAATTCATCCCGGTGGGTTAATGTAGCATCTACTGCTTCCACTCTTACTGAACCCCTTGGATATTGAGGTATCATAGTTGGGACCTTGCCATAAAGAGCCTGGAATGGAGTCATCCCAATGGAAGAGTGAGTCGTAGTGTTATAGTGGTACTCAGCCCACCCCAAGAAGAAAGCCCACTTATGATTCTCATCATGACAAAATGCCCTTAAGTATTGTTCCAAATAACGATTTGTAACCTCCGTCTGCCCATCCGATTGGGGATGATAGCCTATGCTGGTTCTCAAAGCTGTCCCACTACACTTGAAGAGTTGAGACCAGAATTGGCTCAAAAAAATTGAGTCCCTATCTGAAACAATGGTCCGGGGAAAACCATGCAATTTAACAACCATGTCACAAAATAAGGTAGCCACCTTAGCCGCTGTATATGGATGAGATAAAGCACCGAAATGCGCAAACTTAGTTAACCGATCTACTACTACAAAGATGACATTAAACCCTTTAGAATTGGGTAGCCCTGTGATGAAGTCCATGCTCAAATCCTCAAACACCCCTTCTGGTATAGGCAATGGTTGCAGCAACCCCAATGGAGGAGTGGTGGCAGATTTTACTAACTGACAAGTAGAGCAGTGTTTAACAAATTCTTCTACATCCTTCCTCATGCCATGCCAATAAAAAGTAGCTGAGAGTCTTAGTAGGGTGCGGGTTATTCCTGCATGCCCCCCATAGGTGTAGAATGTGCCTCCCTCATTATAATCTATCTTAAGTCAGACTTTGATCCAATTAAAAATCGACTTTTGTGATAAAGAATGCCTTCCCTCTCAGATATCTTAGAATGGCCCAAGTCATTGTTTTGCAATTTCAACCGCAACTCAACCAATTCAGTATCAGACAGTTTTTCATCTCTAATCTGATCAACCAATTGAAAGGTAGCTGCTGAAATTAAAGATAAAACCGTACTTGTTTGTTCTCCTTCAAGACTTCGGGACAAGGAATCTGCCACAGTGTTGGCTGCTCCAGACTTATATTCGATGGTAAAATCATACCCCATCAACTTGCAGGCGTATTTTTGCTGTTCCATCGTTTGGACTGTTTGTGTCAATAGCTCCTTCAAGCTGCGATGATCCGTTCTAATTACAAACTTAGACCCCAAGAGATAGTGACGCCATTTTTTAACTGCCTCCGTCACTGCAAATAACTCTCTGACATATGTGGAAGCTGCTCTCATTCTTGGACCAAGCTTCTTGCTGAAGAAAGCAATTGGCCGATTATACTGTTGAAGTACAGCTCCTATACCCAAAGTTGAGGCATCTGTGTCAACTACAAACGGAACAGAAAAATTAGGTAAAATTAAGACTGGAGTTTGTGTCATGGCAGTCTTTAATGC